AAAAAAATCAGTTGTAGGTACTTTACCACTACAATAAATTGAATTATGAACATGGAATGAGACTTGTTGATATCTAAACCTAGTTTATAAATATGTCTTATGTAGTAGTAACAGTGATATAAACGAGCCCTGTAGCTCTTAAACTTCTTTGTGGTGTTTGGTTTTTGCTAGAATTCCACGCAGTCTTAACTCTGCTCTCAAATAGCAGTGGGCTACTGAGGCTATATGAGCGGGGGTCAAATTGTACGGTGAGCATGAACAATGAGTTCTTTAGCAGAATTTGTTGTGCACATGAATACCTCTGAACAGTTAATTGCTGTCATGGCAACAGTACGGAGAGGGTAAGTGACATTAGGTGAGCTGTTTGCAAGAAAGCGATCCTTCGGAGTGACGGTGTGAAAGTGTGTGTAAGTAAGTGTGTGTGTGTGTGTGTGTGTGTGTGTGTGTGTGTAAGCGTAGGTCAACATTTTCTCCGTATCGCCACACAAGCCTTTCAGTGCTGACAAAAGCACTCTTGTGCTGCAGGATTGGGGAAAGTTACTAATGCTGGCGAGATCATAATCTAAGTCACACTGCAGTGAGGCAGCGGTGGGCTTTCACATTGGAGGGATATATTAGGAACAGTTATTGTATCTTGTAGTCACTGGGACTGTACAAGGGGGATTTTATGTTAAAAAAACTAAGTATAAAATACAGAAAAGGTGAAGATTTGACTTTTATTATTACTTGTAGAGCATATTTAAAGAGTAACAGTAGTGCTATGAGCTAAATGCTAATGGGAGCATGCTAATATGTTTACTATTATGAAGCTAACATACCGTGTAGGTTTAGTAAGTTATCGTGCTAACATTTTCTCGGCGCACCACGGATATCTGCACCAAGCTTCACGGCAATCCATCCAATAGTTGTCGAGACGTTTCACCTGGAAATGAAAATGTCAACCTCAACATACCACTATGCCACTGAAATGAATAATAAACATACGTTATTATGTAATTATCCGCTTCGTACATCAAGAGACAAATCGAAAAGCGATGGAAATGGAAAGCTCCATTGTGTGCACATCATGCTGTGGAGCGTCGCTGAGTGAGCCATTGCCATCCGTTCTGCATGTGGTGTGCATTGAGAGAAGGTCAAAGTGGCTGAAGGGTGAGATGGGAAGTGACAAGGAAGGTTGACACACACACACACACAGGTATGCCTTCATTGGCTTTGTAGGATTTTCCTTCTAAGAAGACAAGGCATTGTGGCAGGTGCCTAAGCACTGTCTGACTCTTGTATATATAGAAACACGTTGGTGCTCTAGGTTAAGAGCTTAAATGGTTGTGTGTGTGTTTAGGACGACATGGCTTCAAGGTGACATTAAAGCCTCAGTTCTATAAGGAAACGCAATCAATCACTGATTTTATAAACCGTAATCAACACCAGCAAAATGAAAGAGAAAACATAATTCTGATGAGAGGATAATCGACTGGGATATCCTGAGTGGGTCTCCAAGGGGATTGCATCATCACAGTGTGTCTGCTGTGATGATGTTATCGGGGACAGCTGCATGCGGCGGAGCCAGGGGTCGAGGCTGTCAGGGAGCCAAGAGGCAGCCGGTAGCCAGCAGATCCCCTCCACTGAGACCCACCTGCTTCACATGTCCATTTTCCCTCTAAACCCCTCAAAGGGATTCCCTGAGTCCTCTGCTGTGTCCACGGACCCCCCCCCCCCCCC